TAGTTTAACATTATAGGTCAATGACTTGGCATATATTAATTATTCAGTGGGATGCGTTTTAGCAGCTTCAGGAGATGATAGGTCTCATACTGCTGCTAAACTATGTTTTCTATGTCTGGTATGGTGTAGGGTAGAGGGGAACTCTATGTTTTTGGAAATTATTGCACAAACAAGATTATCTTCTGACACATTCGTTATCCCTTCTGATATCAATGACAGTAACACAGCAAAAAGAATTTCAAGAAGTCATCAGGGTAAAAGAAAAGGCAAAAAACAAACAAACAAACAAACAAAAAACCCAAACCTTGATTTAGCTGTGAGGGAGAAACTTCCGTTTTAATTTAAAGCTATAGTTCTGTTCAATGTCAAACTGATTTGCGACTTTTCTAATGAAAAAATTTACAAAGGATTAATTTCTATTTTCTTTTCTCATTATTGTTTGACAGTCAAGGTTGAAGCTAGATCACGCTATCCTAAAGACCCATTTGAATTCAAGAATGCAACTCACAATTCTCGGCTTGTGACCAAGCCAGGTGAAGGAGTACTGGAACCCATCCCAATCTTTAATAACTGCCCTGCACCCCTCAATGCTGTACCTTAACATGCCGAGCTCAGTTGAAGAAGAAAGATGCACTGCTGTGGATTTCAGCATGCACTTAGCTTGTTGGACAGCAAAATATCAGAGAGAAACCATAGAAAACAATAAATAATAATTAAAACTACCATACCCCCAAACTAGCAGCTTGCTCAAGACTTTAGTCAGAAGCCCTGTTAGCTAGATGCCTTTTGTGTTCAAGCCACTTTGCATGCCTCTTACTCTGAGTGATTCCAGTGTGAATATGACATTACTAATGACCTGCTAAGTGTGTGCAGATGTGGGTTTCTCCAGATGTGGTGATTAATAATGTAATGGAGATAGCCAGTCAACTCATGTTTATGGGTTGTTTGCCTTTTATTACATTTCCGAGTTCATTTGCTTTGAATTATTTCTTAACTCCAGCCAACAAACTCACCTTTAAGTCTCAAAGGGCATCATCCCCCTAAAACCTGTTGAGGAAATAGGGTGGAAGGAATGTGTCCCAGGCTGGAGCTAAGCAGTGGATCCATCACATGTCAGGGCACTGGACTGTTTGGGAAAGCTGAAGGTTGGAATCACTGCCCATTTTACTCAAAGGGCCCAGAAAGAGGCATCAGTGAACCTTGATCTAGTGTTTGCAAGCTGGCTAGGCCAATAAAGAAAGGGATTTCTTTTTAAAAAATCCAGTAAAATATATGATCATCTTGAAGTAAGCCCAGAGTTCTGGCCAGGGTTTCTGGAAGATGTTGCTTTGCTTTTGCTTGAAAACAGAATGACGATGAAAAGTCGAGTAAAATGTTGTTACAGATGTTCGATGCTGCATTAAGGCTGTTGGAATTACCACCACATCTTAAATCAATTCCCAGAACATTGTCTGGAGGTTATGTCATCGAAATAATGAATCCTCTTTATTCAAGTATAAGCAAACATGTTAAAACATCATTGTAACTTTAAATTAAACTCTAGCGCCAACCAAGAGATCTGAAGCCTCATTAGACTTGCCTGACATTTTTCTAGCACTGAGTCTTCCCAAACTGTAAAACTGTTAGATTCAGTGCCTATTAGACAAGCGAGCATGGGGAAGTTACAACAGCACATTAAGTGTTGTACTTAGGGATGTGCAAAAACAAGCCCTTGAATTTTACGAGTACTTGGAGACTGGATGGAGGTCAGCCCCTGTAAAAATTCCGCATTGGATTCCTGAACTTGTTTGTGTTTTAAAGAGCCTGGTAAGTCAGGCTCCTTTAAAAGATCATATCTTCATGCAGCTTCCACAGCATGATGCAAGAGAGAATGCTGGAGACAGAGGTGAATTGTAATCAGCCCTGAAGTGGGCTAAATACGAGCCTGTGAATGTGCGTTGGCATCAGGTACTAGCCCGTTACTTTAATACTTTTGTCTTTCCTGAAAGTAGGTAAATATAAGTCTCCCTTTTAATTCAATTTTTATTCCTCTCATGTAGTCACAGAAACCATGAAAGGGAAATTATATTTTATAGCTTAACTAAAAGTTTTCCTAGATTTGCTTTCTTTAAATATGCAGAAATTGATAGAATCTATATAGAGGATAATAATTAAATATAGTTTATATTCTACTGATGAAAAAGAGGTTATCTCTGCCTCTCTTATTGGCTCTAAGCCATATATAATAGTCTCTATCACACAACGTTCATATATTACAGCTGGAGACATTTTCCCCATCTCTTCAGGGAATGGATCTGCATTTGCAGGCTGTGAGTGCGGGAGAAAACCTTTGAACACGAGTTTCATTTAAGAGAACAAATCCCACTTTAAATGCAGCATGATTATGATGGATGATCTTTCTGACTTGCAATGAAAATAAATAGTTTCCTTACATAGAAGGAGGCATAACTTTAGCACCAGAACAAGGTGTCTCCCTGGAGCTGGCTAACAGGTATTAACTTGCAAGTCTGCCATCTAAACATCACTGCAGGTAAACAGACAGCGACAAGGTGCAAGGATAATAGGCACTTAACCAAAGAGGGTTATTTATTGAGGGCCCAGGACGAATGGGGAAACAAAAGTTAAGCAAAATAATCCAACAGAAATGCCAGCAAGGGTGACTTCTGTTCCAGTCTTAAGTAATACAGACAAAACCATGACAACGTCTGGTGGCCTTGAATAAAGTGAGCCATAGTAGACTAGGTGAGGTAAAAGACCTTTTCGGATATTTCATTAGAAGGTTTGTGCGATAGGGAAGAAAAGAACTTTCACCCTCATTAGACCCTCTCACATGCACACATCTTATTTATTCTGGCACGCTGCTTAACTAATCTAGGTCACCCTGAATACGATACAATGATTACAAGTGGCCCACATTATGGGTGGAGTCAATGCAAGACTTTCTACCCCATCCTAAGATGGGGAATGTGCAAAAGTATACTTATACACACGCACACGCGCGCGCACACACACACATTCCCTCCCTCCCCCCTACCAATCTCACTGCCTTTCTACCCCATTATTGCCTGGGATGGCCAGCCCCCTATCCTGTGAAAGGAAGATGAATTCAGGTCAAGCTCAGAGTGCCTGTTTGCTTGCCGAGAGATGCATATCAACTCTAAGTGATTTTTCTCAATACCATTTATGTGGCTTGTATTTATTTCCTTTAATCTTTTAAGTGCTGTTTAGTCTCGGTGTGATTTGCTGTGGATACTCATTTCTGATAAGATGTGATATCCTCCCAGCCACATAGTTCCGCCTGGAGCCCTAAGTGACTGATATGGTCGCAGCCGCCTGAGCATGGGCCTCTGAGGCTGCGGGGGTAGGGTAGGAGTAGAGGACAGGCTGGGGATAGAGGAGCAGGTGGTAGAGTGAGTGGGCTGTGGGCATTTACAGTGCTTTCTTGCCTTCATCTCCTCTGGAATAGCTCTCACTTTGAACCACATTCTTGTTTCCTTTCCCTGTGTCAGCCAGAATTCAGGTGACCCCAGACTGACGGTAGAGTAGGGGAGCGTACCAAGTGTGATACTTTGAAGCAGGTTCAGAGGGTAGTTGGATTACTGTAATCTCTTTGGAACCATGTATCATAACATACTAAATTTATTTAGGGTTTTCAGAGAATTACCATATAATGCATGTGCTGATATAGGTCTTCCTGGATAATATCGAGTAGCTGAGATGGCATTTTCTCCCCCAACTAAGACTTGTACACCATTAATATGTCGAGCTTCTTTTGATGTTGCCACTGCTAATATTTTTCTTCTTAGATTTAAGGTAACTGCTGTGCTTTCCTGGTTTCAGGGGTGCTTCCTCCCAGTTTGTGTTGCAGTCATCTTTAAGAATCTGAGGATGCTATTTTTTTTTTTTTCTTGACATTACAGCTTTAGCCTGAATTGTGGGGGTGGGGAGAGAAGGACTAGAATTTTGCTGCTGATGCCCTTGGGTGACAGGCTGGGTACGCATCTGCTAATTATCAAGCAGCTCTCTTAAAAAGAAGCATGATGCAGGCTAATACATCTACAAAGCTTATTAGTGGGTGTCTTTGGGCAAAGGCAGTAGAGTGTGCTGTGTCGTTTGTGAACCAAGCTTCACATTGCTTAGCTGTCTGTGTGGTTTAGACTTTTGGAAAACAGCTTTTGGTTTCCAATCCCTTGTGCTGCCTTCCCTCCCTGCCCCTCACTGCATCATCAGAGATATCATTCAATGGCAACCTCCTCCTTCATTTGGGTGCTTTTATCTGGCCCCGTTCTATACCCTCGCAGCCCGGTCCTCCTGTCTTAATGAGTTAAGAAAAGATCCCATGTGCACACGGCCCCAGTGCCCTCCTTTTTGGGAGGTGGAGGGACAAGAGCGAAGGGATGGGGATTCTCGAGCCAGCATGCACCAATGTTCCCAGTCCCGACGGATTGAAACATTGGCTACGAAGGCCTCAGATCCTCGCCTCTGTCCAAGGCTCTTCCTCCGGCGGGCAGGGATTAGGAGCCAGTTAAACTGGGTTCATTTGCAGAAGCAGCAGGCTGGCAACTGTTACACTGCTGTTTCAAATATAACTTCATTTCTGATTTTGGTTACAAGAAAACCCACTCCATTACCCAGCAAAGCGAAGTAACCAAAATTAACTCTTAAGAATAATGATTGAGCATTTCCATATATATATATATATGTTTCGTATACAGATAAATCATAATTTCTTTTCTTTCTTATGGCAGGGTTTTTACGAACTGTTGTAGTCTGTTTAAAGTGCATGTTCAAACGCAGGAGTGTAAAGAGGTGATGCTTTCACCTTTTCTAAGCCGGCTTCTTTGACTAACACATTTGGTCTTTGTCATTGGGTCCTAAAAGACAGCCATGAATTCCTAGTGAGTGACTGAGCCGTGAGTGTGTGTCCTTTGATATCTTGCCTGTATTTCACAGTCTGCCCTCAAACTGTTCATAATCTCATGAGCTGCCTGTATTTCCAGTTGAAGATGAGCAGCCCTCAACGCTGTCACCAAAAAAAAAGCAGCGGAATGGAGGTATGCGGAATTCACCCAGCTCCTCGCCCAAACTGATGAGGTAAGGAGAGGGGCCTCAGGCCGTGGGGGTTCCCCTTCTCGTTCCTTCCCTTCCTCTCTTCACTCCCTCTCCACCCCACCCAGGCCCAGAGTCTCCCCTCCCCGGCAAGCAGGAGGTGGGGGAGGGGACTAGATCGTTAGATGGCTTCTTAAAGGCTGGAGTATTTATTCTGTCAGCTTGTCAGCAGTTAATGATAGAGCTGAAAAAATTCTGTCATGAAAAACAGTTTGAAAAGCTGTTTGAAAAATACATAGGCTTTAAAGTCTTAGCTGTCACCATGTCCTGTCTATGTGTAGTTCCTAAACAGCAGTGGCACTAATGACGGTGGCAACCAATCAGAGGAACTTGTGTGGTTAGTTTGCCTCCGGCAAGTCTCTTTCTGCTGGAGTCCCTTCGAGGACTGTTGTCTGTACTTAAGGCCATATGTGAGATGTATCATCACAATCAAAAATGAACCTGAAGATTACCTTCCTTTTATCCTGTCGATTGAAATCAAATTTCTGTTAATTGATTTTGACTGATAAAAAAGTTTAAATAATCTGTGGACTTGCCAAAGCAAAGTTCAAAAGTAATCCAGTTCTGCTCAGGCTAAAAGCAATATTAATTATGAAATACGGCATGTGTGCATGCTCGCTCGCTCTCTCTCTCTCTCTTTCCTTCCTTCCTTCCTTCCTTCCTTCCTTCCTTCCATCCTTCCTCCCTCCCTCCCTCCCTTTCTCCCTCCCTTCTCTTCTTTTTTTATCTTGACTATAGCTTCTTCTAGGAAATGGCAAGTGAAACTAAATTTCAGCAGATTTCTGCAGGTTCCTCTTCTTGGCCTCTTCACCTTTCATCTTCCCTTTTTTGTCTTCGATTCATCTGGCAGTCCCAGTGCTTATTCCCTCCAACATCCTAACTCTCTAGCACCTCACTGAAATGGGGGTGATCTCGGATTGGCACTGCTCCCCCTACGTGGTCACCACTGTGTAAAACCTGCCACAGCAGGTTACTTTCTTCTTTTCGTTGTCATTGACCACTCTCCTCGCTTTGATTATTGAAATAAAATGATGGTGATTTCCCCCTCCCCCTCCTTAGCCATCACATTCACGTTTTCCTGGCCCTCCTTGACCACCTTTCTGGGATGCAGATGGGGCAGCTCTCCTCCGGGCAGTTGGAGACACCAGCTCTCGTGGAAGACTCACTAGCCCCATGTCCTTTTCCATTATGGCCATCTCTTCCTGTTAAATGTTTCCTTAGCAGTTCTCTGCCTTCCCCTTTGCTCGGTCTTGCTTGGGTGTCGCTGATTTACATGCTTGTTTACAGTTTATGAGGAGAAATAAAATGCACCAACTGCCAAGCTTCTCATTTTTATGACGCCAGTTGTCATGCTAGCATTCATTTCCTATTTACTCACCTTTAGGTAATCACCTTATCTAATGCTAATAGTTCTATCCATTTAAAGTAGAGAAAAACCCAGGCGCTTTCCTTTGCCTAAATTTAGAGAAGCAAATAAATAAATAAAGAGAAGTCTGAAAAATCTGAAACCTTTGGAGCCAAATTCCCTGTCCCTGTTTGCTATGTAAAGTATGGCTCATTTCTTTGATCTTGAGTAATAATAATTCTGAGGAGTTATACTGTTTTCATATGCTTCAAAGCTGTGTCAAAGTTTTGCTGCTTAAGGGTACTTCTTTATTCTGTTGGCTCTTGGGTACCAAGATGACAGGTCTTCTATACGAGGTGGAAGCTTTTTTAAGTCGTAGCCTTCAGCAAAACATCAAATTACCAAATCCAGGGTAACATACTTCTACACAAATGCCTTTCCTGTAGATATATTATACCATATATATTAAATACTTTAGTGTTACACGCTACATTTTATGTGCAATAGAAAGTGATGGTTTGAGGTAGCCTTGAGGGGACTTTTTTTCCACAAGCAGAAAAAGCTAGTGTATACCGTATCAAGTATGGTTTTTACAGGACTTTCTGCCTGAAGGCCTTTGTAAATAAGTAATGATCAACAGATTGGCTGTGGGTTTTTGAAAAGCATGCCTGTGTCAGTTTGCATGATGGGGGAGAAATTTCAAAGTGGGTCTTGCTTTCATTGCCTGTCGGAGAGGGACTGAGGGAGGCAGTCATCCCGGGCTGGAGCTGTCTGCTCCATGGTCCATCAGAATTGCTAAACGTGGGTCAGGCGGTGAGCTACAGACCTCAGGTTTCTGGTGTTGGTGCCTTCAGGCTGCTGCTATGGCCTCGGCTACTGTCACCAAGATGCTTTACCCCATGAGCTGCGATGGTCTCAATCACAGCTCAGCTAGAAAAGGCTGTCTCATGACAAGTCAGAAAGTCTTAAGACGCTCCTCCATTACCATGGCTTTCTGTGTGCCGGGTGCTCTCCATACTCTGTCTGAAGTGGGAGCAAGAACAGGGTGCTGATCCTGCTCTCTATTTCCCTTCACTTCTAGTGTGTGCAGAAAGACCCCATAGGTTTGGTTTGGTTTGAATATCTGTCACTAGCGATGATGTTGCCAGGGCCTGCTTTTTGCTAGATCCCTCTTGTTGATTGAGAGAAAACACGGGGGTTGGAGGGCTCAAGTGATAACTTGTGGCTTCTGCAGGTCCCCCCACTTCTTCAAACACTGCCTTTCTACTCTACAGAAGATGGTACTCGCAGGTCCTATTCCTTATGACCTGAAAAATCCATAAAGAAAGCTAATGACTTACTTGAAGTGGGTTTTTCGACATGAGTTTTGGCTTGCTGTTTGAGCAGAATCAATCATTCCAAAGGTGGGCAGGTTTTAGTGGCCTATCGGGCAGTGATAGCAATAGCTCCAAGAGAAACTAGAGGGTTCGGAATGCGCTAGGATGGGCTTTAATTTACCACTGCGTCTCTTGTAAATAAAACAGGCTCCTACGTGAGGGTTTCTTGCAAACCATCTGCCAGCATGAAATGCTGCTGGGACTCTGCTCTAATGGTCTTTGTCTCCCTTTGTTCTGGTATCAGGCTCACCCTGATTTTTAAGTGTCACTTAGCTCTCTGCGCAATCATTAGGTGAACAGCCTTGTTTTGTGTGTCTGGATCTTGATGTAGTATGTTTTTTAGTTGCCCTGACAGAAAGCAACTCTCATAGCCAAATGGCGAATGTCTGTGCTCCAAGGCAGAAATTCCTGTGTCATGACAGATAACCGTTGGCTTTGCACCTTCCAAGGACGAGCAAGCCACGGAGGTTCCCAGGTCTCGGTTATTTGCCTTCCTGCTGGTCTCTTAACATGGAATACTTTAAGGAGCCTCTCCTAGTTTTCATCTAAAATCACCAAGTATCCATTGGTCGGTTCTCCCCAGCCAGTGGGGTTGTGCCTTGTAAGGAGAGTCTTCCTTCAGTTGGAAGCACAAGAACTTTGTCTCTAAATAACAAGGTCAAGAGACTTAATTTGGAGGTCTCACAGACTCCATTGAACATCCAATGAAAGCTTTCTGGAAAGTCTGTTTAGAGAAGAATAAAGTATACTGGACGTCATTGTGACTGCAGTTGAAGCAGACTCATGAATTCCCTAAATCCCTGCCCAGGTTATACTCACACTCGGTTCTTTCTGCAACTATCTTCAAGTTGTTGCAGTCTCAAATGCTTTTTGGATACTGAGGATATTGCTCCAGTGGGTAGAAGTATAGAGGCAGTATGTGGGCTCTCACACTGTATCCTCAGATGGAACCCACACTGGCTGTGCATTTCAGCTGTCTGCTTATATTCCTTTACTGAGATTAATTCTCATCCCGCAAATGTTTAGTGAGAGTTTACTGTATTCAGTGTTGTGGAAGATCTTTGATGGGTGTAAAGTAAGATGGATTAGCGTAGGTCTCTATCTTCAAAACACTCACAGTTTAATGTAGGAGACAGACAAGCGTATATGGAGAAATAGAATAGGAATGGCTTGGCTATCTCCCAGCATGGGCTGTGAGAACAGAGAGAGTTGATACCACCTCTGGTCCGGCAGGCTGAGCCTGGTGTGTGAGGGAGGTCACATTTAACCTAGCCCTGTGTGATGAGGGAAGTTCTCAACTGGTGATATCATGTATCCTGTTCACTGTTCACTGGGTGCCAGTCATCATTCTGAGACCATCAATGCCTGTGAACTCATGGGATCCTCACCAGAACTCTGAGGGTAAGACTTACTCTGTCTCACATGTTACAGATGAAGAAGCTGAGTCACAGATGTGAAGTCTACTGAATCCAGTAAGTCTTAACTAATTAGGAAGATCTGAACCCAGGTAGTTTAGCTTCCCACCCCATATTATTAACTCCTTCCTTATTCTGCCCTGTGGAAGAAATAGGGAAAGTGCTCAGGACATAGGAAGTAGCTTGATGTGGCTGGACCAGGGCATCCTTGTTGTGACATAACTGGAGTTAAAAATATAAGCATAGTCTGGTACCCACTCACGGAGGCCTTTCCGGTCATAGGCACTGGGGCAGCCTTGCAGGCTTTTGAGGAGGCAGAGCTCATATTTGTATTTCGGGAGGATCACTGGTGATCGTGTAAGGATGGATTTAGAACCCTCCATTAGAGCCTAACAGAGATACATGTTCTGTATACTCAGAGGAGTGAAGAGAAGGCCCAGCCCACCCCAGCCTCTGCCAAATGTCCTCTGGGTGCCAAACCACCCAGGGTCTGCTATTGGAATGCTGACCGGAAATAGGCTTTTCCCAAGAAGGACACACAACATTCCTCATATCAGTTCGTATTACACCTATTTCTGTGGGAACTAGGGAACTTGAAGTAAGACAGAGAAGCATGGGCCATGAGGATTTGTACAGGATGTGTCAGGTAGACAATTTACCGAAGAGATAGCACCCAGCTGGGCTAGCAAGGATAATTGACGATACCAAAAACATAAAAATTGAACACTGTGAGGGGAGCTTCATGTCATGAGACCCAGAAACTATTAGACATTTGTTTTCTGAATGGGAGGAGAAATATGATTTGAGGAAAACAGATTATCGTTTTGGACATTTACTGATCATTAAGTG